TGTGTGTGTTTATATTTGTGTCTATCTACTGTTATATTTATATTTATATACGCTTTGCAAAAAGGTACTCCCCAGGCGATGCAGTGGTTAGCGAGCTTGTCTCGCTAGAACAATTACGACTGAGTAGTGAGTTCGATCCTCTATCGATGCCCCATACTTTCGACCTTATATAGATATATAGATATGATTAGATAGAGATAGACACTCATGAATAGATTCAATAGATAGATAAACTGGTAGATATTACAAATTTGAGGTAGACAAATTCATACATGAATGTTCAGACAGATATGAAGATATATATATATATATATATATATATATATATTCATACACACACACACATACACACACACACACACACACATATATATATATATATATATATATATATATACACACCCAATTCAGTTTGACCGTTTCATGAAATAACAGTGTCGAAAGTCTTTGGAAAAAATAATATAAAATAATTGTTAATGTGAATTTTGTCAAATTTACCGATAAAACTAAACAACTTAATTAAAAAAAATGCTGAAAGACAAAACTAGTCGATATCATTTAACAGATCATCGATGTTTGGAAGAATACTTGCTGCTGAAATGCACCTTATTGAAAATACGTATATATATATATATATATATAGAGAGAGAGAGAGAGAGAGACAGACAGACAGACAGACAGACAGAGAGAGACAGAGAGACAGAGAGAAATGCAAACAGTTGTTGATACATGTATAGATTTATTTTAAAATCTATTATAAATCATCTAATTATTAGATTTTACTAACATTTTCGTCTTCAAAGGAAACAATATATATTTGAAAAAGGGCGAAAATGTTTTAAATAGAAATTAAAAGAAATTTTTTTTCGGTTTGAATACACCGACTTTAATCTGTTTGACATTTACTCCGATATGAATGGTAAAGTCGGAGTTAGCTCCTCCTGAATTCCCTAATTGTTCACCAGGGAACGCTCTCCCTACACTATAAATACTGGGCAATTTCTTGCCTCGTTCTCTTTTTCACTTTGCATTTCAGCGAACACATCTACAATGTAAGCTCTCGCAAAAGATAGCGTCTTCCCATTTGTGGGAGACGCCGTGAACATTACACACATACACGTACGTACAAACATTCACCAAAATACAAACTCTTTACGTTCGCACACAAACACAAATGTTAATGACTTTGCCACTTGTCAATTTGTTGTTTAATACATATATTTCAGAGTCTGTCTATATTTCTGAGATGAGGTATTATGTACAGTATTTACATTAGTCGGACTATTGTCCTCATCTTGTCGCCATATTTATCACAACGTTTCGGCCGTTGTACGCTCCGGCCTTCTTCAGGTGGTTGGAATTTCGAACTGAACCCTTTATTTCGATCACTGGGGTAGACTGTTCTAGTTCCACGTGCCATGTTTGATGGATGTCAGTTATCCACCTGAAGAAGGCCGGAGCGTACAACGGCCGAAACGTTGTGACAAATATGGCGACAAAGATGAGGACAATAGTCCGACTAATGTAAATACTATACATATATTTGTTGACATATATATATCGGTCTTGTCTGTTTTCTTTACATCTTCGGTTGAACTCAACTTGAGCACGCCATGTTCTTTTAGTTGGACCTTCTAGCAGGAAATAAACAGCACGGGTTTCTAATCCAACAACAACCTTAACCCACACCAATCGTCAACAATATCCCTTTAAATAAAGAATATAAAATATTTTGCTGTTTCTTTTTTTTTTGCATCAAGCTTCAGTGGTTCAGAAATCCGCTAAACCAGTTTTCTTATAATTTTATTGTGCAATAAATGGAGAGTAAGAAAATCACTCAAAGGGTCAAAAAGTGAAAAATAATTAAACGGGGTGGCCCCAATAGGCTCAGGACAGTCGAAAATTGCATAAAAGAAATAAACCTTTTTACCCCCCTACTCTTTTATCAGGCATCTAAGAATACTTTATTATCAATGGGTTGTGGATTCCGAGATGAATTCGGTCTCCAAGGAATGACAAACGCAATAATTAAATATAAGAAATAAAATGTATTTACACAATCATACAAAGAGTAATACTGTTAGTAAGTCCAGGAACGCGGTTAGTAGCAAATACAGATGGATATATACAGTCTTGAAGTAGGACTTACTTAGAGTCTACGTGCTTGTAACTGACTTCTACAAGAGGTTACCTCACACCATCTCTGTTCGTATATTCTCTGACTCCCCGTATATCCTCTCTCTATCCGACTACTCTCTCTGACTGTAACTCTGGGTATTTAACGGCAGCAGTGCAAGTAACACTGGTAGAGTCCACTTATATGAAAAGGGGAGGACCCCATAACACAATGTTATGGTAAGGAATTTCTTATCGTCGTTTTCAGTTCTTTGCACGTGAATATATCTCCGTGGGGAAAGTATACAAGAATTTGCGTGTCATTTCTAACCGATTTGACTGTGATTTGTCTAGACCTCTTTAAGATCCGGACGAGTGTGATCTACTAGACTGATAGACTGATTCTGTTTTTTTTTACGGTTTATCAACCCTTTTCAGGTTATCTAAATCCAGAAAATAGATTGTAAGTATTTTGGGGAGATAACGATTTACCGCTGTTCTTTATTTTATTTTGTTTTTTAAGATAATGGTTTATGTGCCGTGTCTATTTCAGGACGTAAGTGATCATGGCTCTCCACTTCCTTCTATCCCTTGTAGATTTCAATAAGTTGCGTCCCTCTGCCACCTCCCCCAGACCTCGTTCTGTTACCCACTTGCTTAAGCTCGTCAGGTATGTCATGCGTTGCTTTCCCTTGTCTCTCTTTCCCTCTATTCGACTCGTGAGTATCGAATTCTCCTGTCCCTCCTTTCTCATTACATGTCCCAGAAATTCCATCTGCCTCTTCTTGATTGTAAGTATAAGCTTCCTCATTTGTTTGCATCCTCTCCAAAACTTCCTCGTTGCTCACACGCTCGGTTCCTGATATCCTCAGCATCCTTCTGTAGAACCATACCGCCGTTGCCTCGAGTCTCTTCTTCATCTTTGAGGAGACCGTCCAACATTCGCTGCCGTAAAGGAGGCCAGATGTCACGTAGCAAAGTTACCAAAGAAATCCTCCTGTCTCGCAATACTCTATCCAGCTTTTGGAATGCGTCCTTGCACGTCCCAAAACGGCTTCTGATCTCATCGTCGCATTTACTGTCCTCTGTCAAAAACACTTCCCAGATATTTAAACTTCCGCACCTGTTTGATTTTAGTGCCGCCC